CACCGTATAAAAAAAGCCGGCCAAACTCCTGGACGCATTAAAAGACGGCAGTTTTTTCCCTCCCTCAAAGTGGCAAATAATACTTTATAGGGCCTATAAAGATAAGTCAATACAAAAAGTTCTTTGTTAATTAATATATGTAAAATGATTAACAGAAGAATGTATGTATTGTATCAAAACCCCAAATGCTCTTCACTTCTCAAAACGGTTCTTTTCCACATTGTAGGATTATACTGATGGTGTAACTGGTGTGGTGGGAGCCTAGGAGCAGTACGACAGAGCAACAATGGGTCCGTTTAATCGCACTTTATTCACACAGGACAACAATGTCAAATAGTCTTTCGTCCAGATCACAGGGGAAACTCCTGGTCAGGGACGAACGGTTAGCCGGGCAGCAACACAACGAGGGAACACAAGAAACAGGCAGGGACGGCACCGGTAAATCTGCCGGGACGGCACTACGGCGAAAGTCAAGCATAGTAGTGAGGACGACCCGACCGCGAGCGTCAGTGAGACACAAGCTTAAATACTAAAGAGAGCAGGTGCGCTGGCAGGTGACAGCGATTGGGCTGACGAGATGATGTGACTAACAGGTGCACTAAATGAGCTGATTGGGTTTGTGAAAGGAAGTGAGGGAAGCTGAACTGTGACAAATGCTTCATCACATAGCAAGCGACTTAATGTTGTAGTTTGTCAAAGTGACACAAATTGACTTACATTACAAATGTGTATGATCACTTTAAGATGAATTTAAATATGTATATAAGGCAAAAATTAACAAGCCCCAAGTAAAGTATAGGTACCTACAAGTTACACTGTAGTAAAGTAAATGTATTGAATTACATTTCACTCCTATAGATGGATACAATGGTCGGATACCAAAGAAACGTAATTAAACTCTCACCACAACAAAACAATTATGTTGAAGAGCATAGCGATGCACCTGTATGTAACTTATATGATATATATTATATAAATACGTTTTTTGATCCACTGTTTCTAGGTCAAGAGAGCAATTGTGGCATGTTATCACACAAAAGGCAAAGTTGCTGCGACCGCAATACAATCTCCCCAATTCATTAAAATACTGCTTGGTCGGTAGCTCTAAGCCGAGTCAACTCATTTTAGGTAGGGGGCCACATACTGCCCACTTTGATGTAAAGCGGGCTAGACCAGTTAAATCATAGGCGATGGTCCAGTCCGGGGGGGGGGGTGGAGGTGCACGCAGATGTCTGTTTCCTGTGGAAGGGATCTACCGCCACTGGCCCCCCTGGTCCAACGCATGCGCTCACTCACGTGCGACCCGCCGGTGGACTTTTTAGGAATAGCAGCAGCTTTTATAGAAATTAAATTTACGTCTTTCTGTAATTTCCACACGCAGGCCAGTCTGGACCCCCTGGCGGCCGGATCCGGCGTAGTAGCGGTAACCAAACGGAACCACGGCGCTGCGCGTAAAACGAGTCAGTATAAAAAGACAACAACAACGAGCAGCCAAGACAAATTCCTTGTATGTTTGGCATATTTTGGTAATAAATGTTTCCTGATTCCTGATTCCTGAGGCTCTCATCTGTCAGAAGGAGGGAACCATTCCACAAATTCTTGGTCATTACGTTGCTCAATGACTTGCACTGATTGTGTTTTAAATTAAATGAAATATGTCTGTTAGTAAGTACGGATCGCTAATTAGCATTAGCATTAGTTGTCCGTTAGCTTCTCCGGTTGACCAAGCATTCGTGACGTGGCGTGTTTTTTTTTTTCAATGGCAGACAATCAACTGGCAATTGACCTGTTGGACACCCCAGCAGCATATGTATTTTTTTATAAACTTCAAAAAGTTGTCAGGTTAAGGCAGCAAAACCTCTTCATTGAGTATTGTTGATTCTTGACTGAATAACAACACATGTTACTGCAGAGGGACAGATAAGTCAAGAGTCAAGTCAAGACATGAAAGAAAAATGAAAGAAATGAAATTAAGTACATTTTTTGAGATACAAACAGCGGCCTCATAAATAAAGGTCCTATGTTTGTTTGACCCTTCAACCTCACACCTCTGCTATTTAGAAGCTCTCACTACTATATCAGTTGCAGAGTGTCTTATAATAATGCGGGTCGGTTTACATTTGAATCAGCACTTTGAGTTGGCATCAGATACTGACGGGCCCAGCAACTGTATTTGACAGTTGGGAATGAGACCGCGTCAGTGCCATTGCACAAAGAACTACCAGAGAAGGGGAGCTAAGGCCACTCGGCTCGGAGCAATCTCTGCAGAAGATCAATCTTCTGTAGACAGAAAATGAATATCAAAATGCAAAATTAAACATGCTCTTTTTGTTCCATATTCTGCTGAAAAGGAGGAGAGATGTGTCTCTGAGATAAAAGCTTTGTGGCGTCAGAACTGCTCTGCTCGGCTACAAACACATTTAACTTTCCCACCCCACCCAGAACTGTTAACGCCCGAGTTGCTCACGTCATCGTTTCATCTCTCCTTTATTAGCAGGAGCTAACGGCGTATTAAGCGTCACCTTTAGAAATTGTTTCCAAGTCTAATCAAGTGTTGCACTAGTACGGGTAACGAGGACCACATGTTTGGCACTGGCTAATATGAAAGAGGCTACATGGGACAACACATGCGTGTTTGGCTTTGACCTTTTCCTGTCCAACCGTCTGCGGACGTTTGCACAAAAGACTCCCAAATGCTGACGCTCGCTTTACGAACGGCATCCTTTCCTAATGGCCTGGGACACGTAGAGCTGCTGTTTGTTAAAATTAATCGTACCACCCATCCAAGGGCTGCGAGCTGAGGCTGCAGAGAACCAGCTGTGAATGCGCTCATGGCCCTGAGACTTGGCTCTGACACCACAGAAAGAGCCTCTGGGTGGGACTCCTCTGAGTCACAAGACATTCAATATACTTCCATTCAAGATAGTACATTCTGTACTCCCAAAAGTGCATGTATAAAGAATATACAGTTTTAAGAAACATGCAAAATTTGGACAAGGTTCTTTGATAATGTGAGAAGATTTTTACAGAGAGACATACTAGCGAGACAAGCTCTGTTGATGGACATGCAAATACTGATCCCCAAAGAAGGTTATTCTGCAACAGTGACTCTAAATGACTGCATGTTTAAGGTTAAGCACAGGTTTACATATTGATAAATATCTACATTTCAATGAAATACATTTACACTTAATGTTTGGCTGAGATGGGGAATTTGGTACATTGATTAAAGCCAAATGCAATAAAATACAGACAGACCTTTTCATACCTTAGACATATGTACACAAAGCATGTATTTCTGGATTCATAATGCACACAAACATACACATCAATATTCGCATCATATCCTCAAAACTTTAGATTTGAGCATTAAAGCACCCGGAAAATTATGTCAAATTTGGTGACACCGATTATCCTGAAATTCTACATTTGTAATATGTTACAAAAAGAAATCTTAAGAGTTGGTTAGCCAATTGCCTGGTCGGAAAATCTGAATTTAACTTATTCAGGTAAAAAAATATACTTTTATTACGTTGAAGAACATGCCGTGGTTATCAGAACTTCACTTGGATGAGCAGGAAATGTAGACGGAAGAGTTAAAAAAAGGAAAGGAAAGACTGATCCATCTATCTGGCTGTTTGACCACCCAAATATTTGCAGTTTCGGATGTGGCTTGGATATCCGTTGATGAATTGACAACACATGTTGCCGCAGCCAAATAACACTTTGGTCAAAGCGGTTTATTTCCATCACGGCTGCAGAAAATTGCTGTAAACAGTAAAATTGCCACATTGTCTTTGACATTCTCAAAGGTATCTGACAGATGCTGCCAGAGGTCGTTGCAGCTCTTACAGTCAACTCATTGTGTGTGTGTGAGGAGGGTCAGGAGTGTCCTCACACTGGGAGCACATCTCTTTATAATGTCCCTCTGTGCACCAGGGCTTATGTCCTTTTAAACAGTTCTCAGCTCTCCAGGGGTTTGGAGTTAGGGGCGCAGAGGATGGGCCCAGGGTGAGCTTGGACTTTAGAATATACAACAGAGGCCCACCGTGTACTCTGTGTACATCTCTGCTGGGTTTGAAATATTGGCAGACGGGGCAGAGCAGAGAAAAAAGTAAAATGGCTTGATCTGTCCCATCTGTACTAACTGCAGTGATGAAGAGGTCCAGAAGAGCATCTGCAGCGTGTCGCAGCACTCCCCCGCCTTGCAATCTCTCAAAGTGCGTCCGGGACCACACAGCCTCCCTCTGCTCACGGCTTGGTCACAAATGTATGTGGCAGCTCTTCTGAGCTAAGAGACACTCTGGTGTCTCTGCTCTTCTACGGCATCGGAAGGGATGGAGAAAAACATGCTGACGCCAATTTACAGCATCTGCAGAAGTGTGCAATCGTGCGGAGGGTGCACATCGGCAGACTTTGTTGTTAGTTACAGATGTTTATGAAGCCACTTCAACAATGTCAAATATACAACTAATGCATGTATGTAAAGAATAAAAAGTAGGGGAAAGAGGAGAGTAATAAGTAAGCAAAGTCAATGGGGAGGAGCTGGGGAAATTATGAACGTTAGCTGTGATTTGTGTAATTGAAGCCTGATAATGAGACCATAAGCAGACATAATAAAAAGGGTGAGATTGAAAACATTCTATGGGCTGCAAGTCATTGGACAATGATTGCTGTGTGACAACTTATTTAAGGTTTTAGTTCATTCACTATCTCTAAATAGAAAAAAACGCACATCTGATCTTTTACATATGCTGTTTAATATTGCGTGTATGGCATTTCTCAAAGGAATCCCTATAGTTCTGCTATCAAATGAATGCTCCTCAGGGTAATCATCTGCAGGTTGAATGTCTGGAGTCTTGTTGCATTCTCCCAAGGGAGCGGAGGGATTTCTTCATAAATAATGGGCTAACGGGAGCCAGTGTAGAGCATGGTGATGGGCTGAGGGTAGGGGGAGGGGTCTCAACCATGTAAGGCTACAATAAAAGGCACTTGTCTGGACCTGTGAGGAGCCCAAACTTTCCACTAGCACTACAGGCGGCTGCTGCAAAGACTGACAGAGAGAGGAACAGCTAGATGAATGCAAATTAAAAACGGAAGATTGTTCAAGCTGATTTTTTGATTTGACTCAAATCAAAGCTTTGGTAAACTTGGGCCTTTCAAGTTTTGAAATTTGAATTAATGTGGAGAATAGAGAAAATGACGAGTCTGCTGTGCATCACAATGATCTCCCTGACCCTGGCTGGCAGTGCATACAGTCAGTCAACACCAACAGGTAAGATACACATTTGAGTCACTGTTGGATTTTCAATTGTGTCGGCAATTGTCTTGTTCTGCAGCAATTTATTTGTTAGTGCATGTGTGTTGATGTGCAAGAATCTTACAGTGCATGAAGTAAGGATGAGCCGTGTAATGGACCTGAGCAAAGTGGTACGACAGCTCAGGCTTGTGTAACAACGGGGTCTTAGTAGCAGCAGGTAACAGTGGCGTCTCTGGGGTAATAGTCTCTGGCACACACACACACACACACACACACACTGCCTCACACTGGACTCCCTCCATGAAGACCACCACGGCATGAAGTGAAAACTCTAAATCCCCCTATCATTCATAGAGACGCTCACCAGCCACGCTGCTGAATGAAACCCCCCCCCAACTAATACTGCTGGTAGTACTCTTAAGTTGGGTCATAGTGGGCCTCAATGGATGATACTGGGCTAATAGTGTTTGTGCTTTTATGAACGTAATACTGATTGGGGTGACAACATTTTATAATTCCTCTGCCATTTTATCGCTTGTTTGTCTTCCTATTCCTGTAACAGACAGAAGACCAAAAAAGACAGAAAGACATTTTGTTTATTATTATTTACGTTTAGAGCCCTGCGCTCCATCATGATGCGGTTTCACTGAATTCAGACCTGCCAACAGGAAGACACACTCACATGCCCGCTGAAACTGCAGGTTGCGAAATACCAGTATAGATCTACCGACATAAAACAAAACTTAAAAACGTGTCAGCAGAAGGCTCTCATGTTTTATAATTTTTAATGTGCTTCCAGTAGCCTTGCTAGCTGACTCAGTAGATGTGAGATTACGAGTGGGTCGGCCGTCTCTCCTCCAGGACGAGAGGAAATGATCTGTCTCCGGGGAGAATAGTTTCAATCTGGCCGGAGATGAAGCTGTTTTAGTCAGACATTGGAATTGCTCCCAGAAAGCCGGTGATGTCACGAGTCTGCCTATGTGTCCATACACTACGTGTACGTGTTTATACATGACCTCACTTTCTCTATTACGATGGCCTCAGGCCAGCTTAATTATCCAACCATATATTTTTTTGGGCCGTATGTACAGTGCAGTCATGCCGTCCACGGGGTGTTTCCTGTTCTCGGAGCTGACTCACCGTGGCAATGGGAGCTTTTGGGGAATCCTCCATGGCAACAGGCAGCGTGAAAGTTAAGATCAATGACGCGCAGCTAAATGTATAGAGCCACATGCTGAACAGCAGCCAAATGACTGGGTCTTTCCTTGTGAGGTAATAGTCTGGTCCAATGCTCACAGTAGGTGTTGGTTACTGATGCCTGGTCCTGTTGCTAGGGCCAAATGCTTTGTGGGGAAAAAGGTGCCTCGCTGGAAAATGGGTTAAGTTTAAAATGTGTCTAAGCCAGGAAATGAAATGTTGATGGAGCTCTGTTTTAAAGATTTGCCTTTGTGTTAATTCACAAATGACTGTGATGACTGTTTCCTATACATGTTTATAAGGATGTTTGTTTATCCGATGCACACTGTCTCTGTGCCTGCACGACAGAGAGCAAAGAGATGATTGGAATTAGTGTGTAGGAGTTGGCCTCCCGTGTTTGTCCCAGCTGTGCTTGTTCATTATTTCTCCATACTGATACCGGATGGCCAGCAGCTGAGGAGGACAACGCTGTGGGGTACTGCAAAGAATTTAATATTGGGCTGCTCTGTCACAGGGTGGGGCACACTGAAACCAACGTCGCCTGACTGCTCTTCTTTCATAGAGGGGATTTGAGCCCATTAAACATGTTTTTCATTCAATAATGTAAAGCACAACACATGTTAAGGTGTTTAACTGTTTTCCAGGTGCTTTAGAGTGTAATATTGTTCACTTACAGTTTGTTGTTACAACAAAGCAGATGAGTCCAACTGCTTGCTTTTAAACTTTAACACACACACACACTCCCTAGGCAAAATGTAAAAAAAGCCATGGGTTAAAAATAAGTAGTTTTGGATAAAAGCGTCAGCTAAATGACCTGTAATGTAATGGGTTGTCCCCAATGTCTGTTTAAACACACAAAGAAAAAGAGAGAGGGAGACAGAGCGAGAACTGCTACGTCCATAAACTGGCAGTGGGTCGTTTTTTTTTTTTTTTATTGTTATGCACATGCATTCAATTACTTCCTTTGTGTCTTTTGATTTCCAGCTCCACTCCAAAGATTACGGTTTGAAAAAGCAAAAAGTATTTTGTCAGCCTAAATGTGACAATTTAGCACAACCTTTGACCTCGGAGAGCCTTACATAAATAGGATGTGGGTTGAGCGTGACAAAGAACAGAGAGGCGTGCCTCTTTTCTCCAGAGTCTGTGTAAACACAACAGGCTGTGGCTTTATGAGTGCAGGGTGCCCCACGTGGTCCGGGCTGCATTCTCCCGTGGGGCAAGTCTGCTGGTGACTGCGGGAGCGGGAAAGAGTGTGCACTTACTTTGAACATGCTGGTCTTTCTTTCTGCTACTAATGTCTTGCAGAAACCCTCAAGGTTTCAGCAGTATGGGTTATTTCTTATTATTGCACGAGGTTAGTTTTTATGCAAAGCTTTTCTCTGCAAAACGTTGAACATTGGGATGTTCTATCCCGTCCTTCTAGCTCATATTTCAGGGTAACAAACCACATCCGGTGTACAGAACATCTGTATCTGTTTCCACAGAACCCTACAATCAACCCCTTTATTCTATCTAGAAATGTGTAATATTTCAAAGCGTAAAAGTCGTCAACCCATCTGTTGAACTGGTGTTGACGTCATCGTGGGCTTAACCTTGTCAGAGCTTTTAATGATCAGTTTAGTCATTCAATCCCACAATCACCCTTCATAAAACCGCTACCTATGCAGCTAATTTATGAGGCATGACGATGCAGTGAGTCATTTCTCACTGACAGAACTGGCATTGAGGACTCTTGACCAAACTGCTATAAACTCTGCTTTCAAAGATGTGAGTAAATATTACCATTAGCGTATAGGCTGTTTCCCAGCTCGTAAAATACCTGGCTTCTTGTTAAGCAGCACGAGGCGGGTGAGGCTACTGGGTGTGGTGAATGGTCTGCAGAAGTCTCTGGCACAACAGGTTTGCAGTCTAATGAAAAAATGGAAGTGGAAACTGGCACGAGATTGGACTGAAGGGTAGATTAGCTCTGTCACGGGTGCTTCTGCTAATTAAATCCTTCTGTAGGAGAGCTCAATACTAATGATCTGAGCCACACGGAAAAAAGTTCAGACACACGTCTACTGTGAGGATACGATGGAGGTTTGGGGCAGTTTAGGCATGGGGTGGATAAGAAGTAATTTCAGTGGATTTATCATTGCAGACAGCAAGCCAGCGGCCTCTACTATTTCCTGTATTGCCCGTGTGGGAAAATATTTCCCCTATTCAACAGCCAGCGACAAAGTATTGCAGCCGGGGCTCTCGCGTTGCCACACAAAAGGAGGCGCCTCAACAAATTTGCTGGCATTCTTAGAATGAAAGGACAGACAGACTAATTTAGGCACAGCTCATTGGGAAGAAAATAAATAATATATTGGTAGCAGAGCAAGGATTTGTTTTTAGCTTTTTTGACTACATCACTGAAAAACAAGAGTTAGGTTAATAACTACGAAAAATCTAAATGCCAGTGGATTTACTCCGTTGTGTACTTACAAGTCTCACGCGTTGCACTTAAAACGGTTGGTTGTTCACAAGCCTTTATCTGTAGTGGTGGGAGTCAGAGCAGGGGTTGTGTACATCCATCCATCTGGTGCTTATTATTGGCTGGCATAGGTGGCCCCTTGCTGGTTGCGGTCCTCTTAACTAAGCAAGCCCTGTGAGGTCCGATCATAGAGGTCAGGGAGATTGTGGGAACCCTTAGCGAGACACAAATGATGTGCGGAGTTAAAAGGGGGGCTAGTTTGTACAGGAGTGCAGGGAGGAGATATACGTATAAAAGTATATCTTGAATTGTGTCATCTGCTTAACTTTCTGGCTATTCATATGGACTAGCAAGACTAACAAGACACAGATGGAGCAGATTAAAGAAGGTTACAGATTAAGATGACATTTTGTGGGTGTGAGGACTGAAAAGAGCTTTAAGGAGACTCAAGAGGACGATTGGCTCCACTGGCGGAAGACTGGCTGTTGCCAAATACTGTCCAATAAACCAGACAGGATACACCCAAACTCTTTACTGGTTTTGTCTAAAAGAAAGTTGTGCTCCAAAGCATGCTGTGGAAAGGCTAATTCTCCCCTATTTTTGGTATGTTTCCATACTGACCCTATTAGTTCCATGTCAATCTAGTCAAGACAACAATTCCGGGATGAAATCCATGGGATCAATGTGTAGAATATAGCTGTAACTTAAATAAACATCAGAGTACATCACATTATATTTAAATAGACAAGTATCACAAGCCTATTCACCAAACCGAATAAGATTCTATGATTTTTTTCTCTTTCTAGTCAACGTCTTGGCAGATCTAGGTACGGAGATCACGCTGCCCTGCCACCCCCCTTCGATAGATTCCGTGTACTCTGATATCATTGGTATGCGCGTCGAATGGACCAAGGTGGCAGAAGATGAAGCCCGGAATGAAGCTGTGCTGCTTTCAATGGGATTCCACAAGAAGACCTACGGAAGCTTCGTCGATCGTGTGTATATGAAGAGCGACGATGATGCCTCCTTAACAATCACAGATGTCTCCGCTGATGACTCGGGCACATACCGTTGTGAGATCATCTATGGCGTGGAAGACTTTACGCAAGAGATAATCTTGAAAGTGCAAGGCAGTCTCGCTAAAGGTAAATTATTATTTTTTCATATCTATTTAGAAAATACCAGCTGTGAAACCAAGTACTTTTACCTGTCTTTTTATAAAAGTTAAACATGCATGTATTTCCTAATTAATCCTCTTTCTTCTTCTTATCTTTCTGCCTTCTTATCAATGATTTTTTTTGAAGATTTTCCTTCATTCATTTCATCTCCTCTGCCTCGCTCAGGCGTTGTGTTCCCGTACTCCCCCAGCGTGGGCCGCTACAACCTGAACTACGTGGAAGCTACAAAGGCCTGTCTGCATCAGAACGCTTCGGTCGCCAACTTGGATCAACTCCGTCAGGCCTGGAAGGGCGGCCTGGACTGGTGCAATGCTGGCTGGCTGAGCGACGGCACAGTGCACTATCCCGTGGTCAGAGCCAGAGGGCCTTGTGGGGGCAACAAAGGGCCGGGCCTCATAAGCTATGGAACTCGCAACAAACAGAATAGCCGCTACGACGTTTTCTGCTTTGCTACTGCACTCAAGGGTGGGTTGCTTTTATTTGTACTATATTCTTGATTCATTAATTGTTTGCATTCATTATTCTTGGAGAAGATGATCCATTGCAATTTATGGTTTCGTCCAGACATTACGGGTTTGGCTAGTTCGGTAGACAAACCTGCAAAAAGAGTATGAAATATTCTCCCATCTAACTAAAATCTTTTTTCCTGACCATCTGTTTTGCTCTCTCCGCATTCAGGACAATTCTATTGGCTGGTCCAGCCTGACAGACTGACCTTTTCCGAGGCTGTGCAGGCGTGCCTAGACGATGGTGCAGAGATAGCCAAGGTGGGTCACATCTACTCCGCCTGGAAGCTCCAAGGCTACGATCGCTGCGATGCCGGCTGGTTGGCTGACGGAAGTGTCCGCTACCCGATCTCCAGGCCCCGCAAGAACTGCAGTCCCACAGAAGCAGCAGTGCGCTTTGTTGGATTCCCAGACAAGATGCAAAAGTCTTATGGCGTCTACTGCTACAAAAAGTAGTGAGGCGGTAGGTAGGAATAGGGAAGCCGTGACCACCAAAGTGAAGCAACCACATCCATGAACATCCACCACAAAGCAAATGTTTGTAACTAGTATGAGCGCAATGCCTTAATGAAACGGTGGTAACCCGATTTTAACTGCTAAAGAAATACTGTACATCGTACTTCCACAAGCAATAACAGATAAAATATTTTGTATCAGTGATATGAGAGGAGAACAAGTTGGGTTTTTCCTCCTCAGAATGATTAGATATGTGTAGATTAAGAGCATACACACTCATATGCAGCTAATATTTTGAATTTAGGTCCACAGAGACCTGACAAGTTGTGATCAAAAAACTGTTTGACAAGAAAATGAATGTAAATGTCTTGTTGGACTCTGATCTAATCCATCTAATCAATCAATCAATCAATCAATAGTTTCTGTTAGACCAACCCCCAATCACACATACAGTTGTTGTTTTTTACATGTTTATATATATTTTATATATATATATATAAGACAAAAACAGATTCTGTCTGATTTTTTTGTATAGTGTAGTTTTTAGCAAAAACAAAAAAGCAAGATTGCAGTGGGATAATGCAGAAGTACACATCTTACCCTTTTGCCCTGAACACAACCTTTTACCAAGACATTCCCTGATTGTCAAAGAGTTCTAGCAATTCCCTACACTAGCTAGAATTACAACTAACAATTGCTAAAATCCACTCCTTGACTTAGGAGACAGAGGTTATGGGCTGATAGGTGAGTTTCCACTCAGACTTTACCGTCATTAAAATCCTAAGAGTGTCCAACGTCCATCTTTTGGACATGCAGAGCTGGTGCTCTAGAGGTTTTCCACAGCCAGATGATAGCCCCCCCTTTCTAGGTACTGACGTAATATTTTGTTTTACTTCTTCTAACCCCAGACACTGATTTATGGTACTTACTGCATGTTACATGTGGTCATATGGTCAAATTGTTTGTTGAAAGAAAAAACATCTCACACTTGCTCATATGTATACACACAGACGGGTGAAGATGTTTTTGTGTCTTATCACAGTGAATCATTTTCAACAAAGCAGATTGAAATAAAAATGTTACTTTTCAATCAATTTGTGTAACTATTCCTTTTTTCGCAATGAACATTTTTTTTTCAACCCAAACCTTATCAACATGATTTGTTTAAAGAGAGAGGATTGAAAAGTATTGTTAAAGCTGCCAATTAGCGTCCATGTAATTGGCTTGAACCCAAAGTTGTGGCGAGAACATAAGACGAGACTCTCCTCTCATTTACTTTTTCTTTAGCATTTTTGTTTACTTCAGTACCGGGCTGCCGGAGCACCCCTAAGTTGACAAAGGGAACAGCATCATAGGTGTTGTGCCAATGAATGGGAATGGGGTCAGATTCAAGATGTTACAGCAGTTAAATGTAAATGTGTGTGATGTAAAGCCCCCCAAAAAATAAGAAGTAGCCAAGGTGGGTTTCCTTTCCAAAACAAATCAAGAGAGCCTGTTAAATCCCTAAGAGAATTGGGCACAGAGAGCCTGGTTTTTCCACCGATCACCCCCGAGATATCTGCATTTGATGAGGCAATAACAATAATAATCTTGCTGTCAGAGTTTGCAGCCACAATGAACCGACCCAGCAACCCAGATATATACAAACATTACATGGACTAAATCAATGTTATTATCTATAGAGCGCTATTGTGATTCAAAAGAAATCCCTAACACTATGATAAGAGTTCCAATGAGTTGAGTGAGTGCGCTATGGAAGGAAATAAAATATCTACCCTTTTCCCTGGTGTTTGCTGACAAAAAGGTTTTATGGCTTAGTCTGATAGCACAACCTGCTGGTGAATCCACCGCACTACTTGCTCCACAAAAAAGAAGCATGAGACTATGGTTCTTAAACTCTTTTTAGGGAAGAAGGCTGTTGTGTTGAAAGAACGTCTCTTTAATTACAATAAAAATTGATCTTCAATGATGTGAACATCATGATAATGTAATGTGTAAAAAAAAGGTCTTCAATGAAAATGGATACAAAAAAAACAAAGTAGGCGAGCTAATTGGAGGATAAATCTGAGTGCTCTGGGTATTTGCAGTTTCCTCCCTCTTTTAAGCCCAAAAGAGGCCATTGCCAAATGCTGATTGGCCAAGAGGGGAAATGCACCAGGGTGTTCTCTATTCTTAATTCAGCTCAAATTAATTGAGAACACAACGACAGTACCAGAAATGAGGGACTGCTACGACAGGACTGGTCCATTTGGTAGAACTACTGACTCTGAATGAACACCATCGCTATTGTGAAAAACATGAGGTGTTTACTTTTTTCACGTGGAAAAAGATTCAGACGTAAACATTTCTTCTACATCACATTTACCCCGTACCTGTCATTCCTCGGAACACTGAGGACTAAGATACGACTAAGAGGACACTTTCCATTCAACCTCTTTATTCCAATACTGAATCTAGTTATTGCTTAAAGGTTTTTACTTGAATAGCACAGTAAAAAATGTAGACTTCAGAGGCAACTTTTGGAGTAAAGCTACAAAAAATATGGAGCAAAGGCAGTTCATTATTATATAATATCCATACATTTATTTTATTTCTTTGGTGATTAAAAGAACAAGAACAATTTTGATTTCTTCACAAACAGCCCATACATTCACATTGAAAAGTACAAAGTTATAAATATAAAACAATATTATATGCACACTAAAGGGCACACATAAACATTCACAGGCAGAAAAAAATGAGATACATAATCATCCCCATGTACAAAGATGTTGTTAATGTTACACAATATTATTGCAGCTGATGGGGCACGCATATTATTTGGTCAACCAAAGTGTTTAAAAAAAAAACTCAATCCATTGTATTGTTAAGCAACTTTTTATCTTCAATGCATTCCATTTAGACAGTTTGTGTTTGCTGCTGGTTTCCTTTGAATATACAATACAAATATATGAGGAGCACAAGATGGCAGCAACTTTTTTCACCTGCAACTATAGAACAAATAAGGAAATCAACAGCAGCTTGAAAATAAATTATATGCATCTGTGCCTGAACAGCCGCTATGTTCAAGTCTTTTTGAGGGTTTCACAAAATACATTCTCTCAAAGGCTGATTTCAGTTGACAAGAATAACAGAAAAGTGAAGCTTCAAGAATGAAAAGCTTAAGCCAGAAAACCATCAAAGGCTACAGCACAATAGCAAAAGAAGAACTGGTAGGACTGGTGTTTAATTTCGAACAGCATTACGGTTATTGTAAACATGCTGTAGCAATTAATTGTCATTTATGCGCTCACCACACATAATAAAATAAATGGCTACTTGAGCCACTTTCTTTTCTCTCATTTGCAAACAGTAATAGAAATCAATTTCCATCAGTGAATGAAGGCTTTGTCGGTGAGTACTTAGAGAGCAAACTCTCATATAAAATTGAAAAAAGTCACACAAAATAAATATCGATACACTCTTCAAAATTCTCTCTATAGAAATCTGTCAAAAAAAAACGTATCTTGACAAAACATTGATGATATCCATAGACGGCTGGAGCTGATGACAGCTGGTAATTTGGCACAATTTATTGATGTTTCCCCACACATGTAAATGAGGTAATAGTATCATAGCCAAGAAACCATACTGATTATTCACTAAGAATTACAGTTCTGTCAGTATATCATATATCTACTAATGAAAACTATGAGCCCTTTGAATGAACATAAGTTGCCACTGACACCTCGATTTGTTTTCTGATTATTTGTTGTACTCTCGTAGAATAAACCTAATTACATTTTACGACTTCAATGTATATGCATATGTATGCATGCTGATTAAAATGAAGTCCAGCTTAGAACAGCATGACAACATAATGTTTCCTTTACATAAAGTAAGCTTTTATTTTCACAATAGCTTATTTCTATGATTAAGGAACACTTATGGTGAGTGTAAATAACAGTCGGTCAGTCTGCGGTGATATTACAGTCATGGATGGATTATTAGATTATTGCGCTAAGAACAAGGAATAAACTTTTTCCGCTTTTCCAGTAGCCAGCTGAAAGTATTTTATCCACATTGGCATTGTGCCCCTTGACAAGAAAAGTCATGGTTCAACTGATCTTTTTAAAAGGCACTACATTCCATCCTCTTCCAAAATGTAAGAACACTACAAATTGTTCTCTCGGGTTACTTGATGAGGTTCCTCCTGTGCTTTTAATGGGGGAATCCTTTTCCTCTTTCCACACAAGCACATCCGCCCTGTGTCCTCGTCTCGTGTAAGCGGTACCACGTCACATGGCCTTTACTGTCTCTCCTGCTTGTATTCAGTCCTGTCTCTTCTTCCCCGGTAGCGCTGCTGGTGAAAGCGGAAGGGCTCGTCCGGCCATCTCTTAAAGTTGTTGATGCTGTAGAGGCTGCTGTGTTGATGTCTTCTGATGAAGGTCCTCTGATACCCCGATGCTGTTGCGGGAAAAATCCTGTATTAGCTCCGAAATGATTGCGGTTTGTATCAAAATGTTGTATGGAGACGTTTTTTTCTTGTTGTTCTTACGGTTCATGCAGGTGATTTTAGGGTTATCCCATCGGCCATCCCCACGACAGCGAATAGTTGGGACGTGCCTCTGAATGAAGCCTGTCTGGCACTGGTACCTCACCAACGCGTTGATCTCGTACCTCTCACGCTTCCTACCGAAGGTACGTGCATTCTCCACCAGGGGGGGTTGGTTGCAGGCCACTAGGATGACAATAGAGTGAAGAATTTTGTATTAGACAGATTACTTTCTTCAGAAAAAAATATGGTTTCAAAGTAAGAGAGAATGTGTGTTACCTGTGCCCTTTTTGCAAGTGAATGTTAGGTGGTAGTTGCAAGGAACATCGTTCCACTGGCCGTCCTCATGCCATATCATCACAACACAATCCTCACCAGAGGAGAAGAAGCTGTCAGGCTGGTTGGGTCTCCAGTTCTCATAATGCTGAAATAACGCATGAAGAGTACGAATTAATAATGGTCCCAAAATTATTTCTGTACCCTAATTTAGTAGCTCTTAAAATACATTCAGCCAAAGAATGAGCAGCCATAATAGCATGTTGTAACAGATTTCCCATAGATTAACATGTAAGTTCCTATCCAAGATATGACTTGAATCCAGTAGGTCCTGCAGATGCTTAACTGGAGGTCTTCATCACAAGTGTGTTGTGTTATCACATGAAATAGGCTGCATACCCTCACGTGTATATATATGTATGGATGTACATTAATACAGTATACACACAGCTGTAGTGCTAGGTTACTGAATCAGAGTTGATGCTACCTGCA